CACTCCAGACTCCATTCTTGATAGACCTGCTCTTTCTATATAATGAAGGTACAGTATACAAAAAACAAACAAACCCCTCAATAGTTTCAATGTTCACACACCTACTCATTCAATCATCTGTCTGACAACATACATTATACTGTAGTTAAAATATCTAAAATCCAATAATAAGCACAAGGCTAAAGAGATATGCAATAAAAAAGCAATTACTTTTTACAAGCCATCTTTATGTTTTCATAAAACATGTCGTCATCCTCTGGAAATACAAAGTTCATGTGAAATACAAAGTTCATTGTGTTAAAAATATTTTATGTGATTTTCCTTTTCATGAAAGGGAGAACATAAAACTTTCTAAATATATAGAAAGCACACATCAACTAAGTCTTGAGCATATTCAGGAATACAAATATGCAGGAGTATAAATACTTAAGATAAAAAAAACCAACGTTGCTGGCCATACTGGGTGTGCAGTTATTACGATTTTCCCTTTTGGACTACGTGCAGATTGAAAGCTGAAGTTCCACACATAGCCAGGCATGATTGGAGCTTAATGTTGGCTGCTTTCGTGGTGCATCGAGTCCCAAATTATGCGTAGGCACCTACTTGGGAAGTGTTAAGGTTTAATTCCATGTTTCACTGTCCCTTGGATGCAAAGGCAACTGCATTAGCACAGTAGAAAATGTGCATCAATATAGCTAGCAGCCACCCTAAACCCACAATTCCTTCTAGTTTGATGTCTGATGTGTTAGAATACATTTGCAAAAAGGCTTGTGGATAAGCTGACATCTTTCATGCTGACACAAATTATACCTCAACAGTTAGATGCTAATAAACAGGACAACTGCCCCGGCTTTCCGCATGGTTTTACTTTTTATCTTAATTCTTAAAGGAAGAAGCAGAATATTAAGAATGACCACAACCAACTTTCACAAAAACGAATTATCCTTTCAAAATTACTTACAGGAGAAGATGGGGGCGGGTACAGAGAGAACACACACTCAGACACTGCATCAGAATAATAGTTTTCACTAACAGCTTTATTTCAAGTAATACATAAGTCATGAAACTACAACAATTTGGGACTTGTCCTACAAATTTCAGTGCTTGTACTTCAGAAGTCTGAAAAAGCGAATTGCATACAAACTGCATTCATTGCCAAATCCAAAACCTATCACGGTGCCTCATTAATGTCCTGTATTATTGCTCCAAATGCTGAGTTATACACTAACACCAAATGGGCCTAAGCATTCTAAATAATGAGCAAAAACTAGGAAGGTCCACAAGTACATTTATCCCATTGCCTTTAAACAAATGAATTACCACAAATGAATTACCCTTTGTGCGACAACAACTTGTACATGCCAAGAAAAATGAATTATTTCGTAAGAGAAACAATATCAAGATTGCCTCTATCAACAGTGAGGAGGCTCAAACCCAAGGAGATGATATTCAAAACTTTGTTACTGACGTTTTTAAAAATAATCCCCTTTTTTAAAACTATTATCAGTTCAATGTTATGAGGGCGTGCCAATCAGGGATACTGTTAAATATTTATTTGCTTAAATGTATGGTAATACATTAAAATTATTAAATCATTCTAGGTACCATCTTTTGATTGAAAACAAATGTATTTCACGAAGACCGCGATTTTATATTTAAGCTAAAAGATTTGCCATTTTAAAATCAACAACATACGAAACTGCTGTGAATGAACTACCTTACAGATGGCCTTAATATTTTTATTTAACCACTTGCTGCCTTTCAGAGAGAGGTTTAGTAGAAGTACTATTACCATCTGAAGACTTTTATTTAGGTTATTCTTCTACCTCCTCCCATCTAGCAACTGGGATGCCATTATTTTTTCTTCTACATAAACCAGTATCTGACATCTATTTTTTAAATGTCAAATCAATGCAGACCATATTAACCTTAATCCCTACATACCAGCTTCCCCCCTCTCAAACACTGATTGTGCTGTTGTTGCCCAGCTTCTCTACAGATCATCATCATGCAGATGGTAAATTAGTACAATAATGAACTGGCTGTGTTGACACTATTGGTATGCAGGGGCACAGTGCCATCCCAGGCCATGACCTCTCTCCCTTCTCCTGCTTCCTGGTTTGTCAAAGCAACAACACACACAGCCTAAAGAAAATCCGACAGTTTACCATAGGAAACTTTTTCGGACCTTATCATGTTTATAATAGCAGTGTCCTTCAGACTGGTGTTTTGGTTATTCAGTAGGGTCTAGAAGTTAAGTGCTTAGAGCAAAGTCTGTCCCAAGTCACTTCTTACCTAAAACATATAGATCTGCTATGTCAGTTCCTATTACTACAATCTCCATGCAATTTTATAAACAAGCAGACACTGTCAAGGTTCCAAAGCCTAAGAGCTATGTTTTGAAGGCTCATCGTGCTATCCTTCATTCTACCCATTTATTACTTTCATGTGAGATGACAAGTTAATAAATATGCAGAAATTCTTCTGACTGGTGTGCTACCACACAATTATGCCTTTTGCCCATTTATACTACAAGTAGAGTACTGAGGCAATGCTATATGAATATACCCCATGTTCATCAACTGTGCAACACAGCATTTTTAAATCGTTCAGTGAGAGTTAATCTGCTTAAGCAGTGTGGCAAAATTCTAGAATCTGGACTGTATTACTTCAGAAACAGTGCAGTAGGGTAACCTTTTCGAATATTCCTACAAATGCTCCCTCTGTATGTACTAAATTTGCAGATCATGGAAAGAGATTTATTAGTTGTTGCCTGATGTGCCAGTTTATCACACTTAGTATTTCTTGTTTGAGTGGGGAAGCATGCAAAAATACAATAGCTTGCCTTCAGTCTGAAGCAAAAGAGTCCAGAGTTCAACCAATCTATTGTGTATAATGTCAAGGCCTGACTTTAAGTAGCAGTGTGTGCTCCCCGCCATCTAAAAAAAATGGATCTACCGTGTTACATATTTAAAGGAGGCTTGCTTTCATATTGCATGTTTAGGTATCATCATCATCATCATCATCATCATCATTATTTCCCTCCTCTTTTCAAAAGCCACATGTTAAATTCCTAATCATCCATCTGTCTGGTGCAACATAGTAGATAAACAGGTTTTACAGGAAATAGTAACATCCCCATGAAGGTATTATAGACACAGCAACAAACAAAAAGGAGTCATTTGAAATACAGGACATTATGACATTATGTAGGCAATTGAGCAACATCCAAAACATTGGCAAGGGGGAAAAATTAAACATCAAGTAAGAAGGAATTAAGTCACAGCGTTGTGTTGAAAACTATACCTTCATCTTGTAGCACCTTTAAGAAAAGTAAAGTCAGGCACCAGAATATTCCATAATTGAAACTTAACTTACAATCAGATGTAAAGTTTATTGAAAAGGCACAGATGAAAAAAAAGGATATTCAATCCAAGGGCATCAGATAATCTAAAACATCTCAGTATATGAATACTATTTACACACTTACAATCTATTCACTACCAAAAATTCATCAGGGCGTATGTACTTCACATAAAAGTCCTGATGTGAAGTTATGCAATACTCACTATAATACATGAAAAATATCAGATCTACCCAAGTTAAGAAAATCATAGATATTTACAAACATTGGTTTTTTATCTGATGTTTTCATAGCTACACACACAGGTAATCCAAAATTTCTTCAAGTTGGGAAGAGCAGATAATGCAGACATTGTATTTTACTAACATCAGAGCAAATATACACAGTAATATAGCTTACTGCAATGGCAGTTTAAATATCTGCTGATATTTAAATCTGTGTAATTCTGACAGAGAACATTTCTATACAAATTCAGTATCAATGGCTTCCTTGTAATTCATCTGGTTATTTAAATAAACAGATAAAAGACTATAAATTAAGTAGAGGTTTCACTTTTATGGCCTTCTAGGTTTTTCTTTTCTGTTTTCTAATTAAAATAGTATAGGAACACAGATGGGAGGAACAACCAAAAAATATTATCAGAAGGTATTGGAAAGAGCCATTGAAGGTATCAATACTGCAGAAAAAGCTAGGGGACGAAATCCTCAAGTCCTTCACTATTGTTACACAACATAAAGAGCAATATTAAATATCCCAAGAACACCACAAGTGATAGTGGGTTTTTTTAAAAAACCAACCAACCAACCCGCAATTCAGACTTCTGCACACACAAATTCGCAGAAATTCAGTGTGTCTGACATGCAGCAAGTATTGGTTACAGAATGCCAAGTGTTAAGTTAGAAATAAGACTTCAGTTTTAAATTTTCTTTTTTTAAAAATCAGGTGCTTATTGTGCAAACACACACAGTGTTATGTATCCAAAAATAAAGAGGTTTATGCTCATGGGGCAAGCAGTACAAGATATATTTAGTGGCTGCATGGTCATAGAAAATTACTATCTTCCTACAAGAGAAAGAGACCAGTGTAGTGCCTTTTGAGCAACTGAGATCAAAAATCAACCAAGCTGGTTGTGTCTAGCTGAACTGACAATTCATTCAGTTTTAAAGTTGTTGATAAAAATATTCCGGGTCTATATTACAAGAATTTACGTCCATCTCTTACACAAGACATTTCCATCACTGTAACAGATGTTGAATATATTTCATTCACTCTAAAAATGTAAGGACAAACAATTCATGTCATACAGTTCAGTATCTCCTAATATTATCAAAAGTTCAGAGCAAAGGGTTCATTTAACAACCCATACAGAATTTAAATATTGCTAGTGTTTCATGTTTACTCAGAGATGACAAAACTTTCTTCAAAAGTTTTCAGTTTTTAGTGTATATGGTCAAAACTGGTACAAAGGTGGGTAAACAAAGCGCACTTGTCAATGCTCGAGCATCAGTTCTGTGGCATATTTAAAAGTGTAGAACTGGAACAAGTTAATGCACTGAACTGCAGAAAGTATAATTAATGCTGTACTATACTATGGAACCATCTTTTGCTTTGTGCTGGAATCATCACAGGAATTGCTCCCATTCTACTTAGATTAGGTTGCAGCTACCTTTGGTGGTTGAAAATTTGGATTCTGAGGAGAAGTACGCTCAAAGTCTTCACTTGGTACTTTGTTGTATTGAGTCTTGGCATATCCATCCATATTGGAAGGAGACATTGAACCCAAAGAAGAGCGATTACTCCCTATATAGCTTCGGGCTGTTGAACCACGACTCTTCGGAGGAGGAACGTCCTCTCTGAAAAATTAAGCAGATTTTTTAAATTACTTAAGAGTCTTGTAGGAAGGAAAACCCAAACACTTAGAAGCATCCCTATCCGTATTGACTTGGTACCATTTATTTCAATGAAACATTGCCTCAAGCCCCCCCCCCTGCCAATCCTGGCACCTGAGGCCTGTAGGGAAAGTGGTCTTTAAGGTATTTGGAGGCTTTAAGCACCATCCTGAGCACCTGAATTGGACCCAGCAATGAACTGGCAACTAGTACAGCTGTTTCAAAACAGGGGTTATATGGGATATAAACAGAAGCCTAGCCAAAAGTCTGGCTGCTGCATTTTGGACCAATCAGTTTCCAAGTTGCCTTCAAGCACAGTTCATACAATCTGGAAGTTACCAGAGCATGGAGTACAGGAGCACAGTTATCTCTGTCCAGAAGGGACCAGAGTTGGCAAACCAACCAGAGGTGAAAAAAGGAACTCCTAGCAACCAAATCCACTTGAGCCTGCAATGATCCAACAGCACTTCCAAGCTGTGAACCTGCCCCTTCTAGGGGAGGGCAACCCTGTCCAGGCAGGCCACCTCCCCACCTCCTGGACATGAGACCTTGGAACACACAACACCCGTCTTTTCAGGATTCAGCTTCAGTTTATTGGCCCACATCCAGCATATCCCTCATCCAAGCACCAATCTAACACCACAACTAGACCAAAGAGACAGAGCTGGGAGTCAACTGCATACTGATGACAATTCTAATATCCTGATGACAACTCCCAGAGGTTTTGCAAAAGATGCTAAATAGCATGGGGTGGGGGGCCAAGATTGAACGCTGCAGGATCCAACAGGACAACTCCCATGGCACTGAATAGTAGCCTCTCATGATTACTTTCTGAAAATGGCCCTGGAGATAAGAGTGGAACCACTGAAACAGTGCGCCAACCTTCTGAGACACTTCAGAAGGATACTGTGGTCAACAGTACTGAAAGCTACCAGGAAATTGAAGAAAACAAGCACTCTTCCCAGTTCTCTCTCAATAAATGTAATCAACCAGGGAGACCAAGGCAGTTTCAGTGCCATGACCAAGCAAGAACTCAAGACTGGATGGATTTAAATAATCAACTTCTCCCAAGCATGCCTGAATCTGGACCACCACCACCTTCTTGAGCACCTTGCACAGGAAGGGGGTATTTGCCACTGGGTGATAATTGTCCAGGGATATCTTCTTAAGGAGAGGGAGCACCACTGCTTCCTTCAAGGCAGAAGATAACTCCCAAACCCCAGTGAAGATTAATCACCCTCTGGACCCACCCAGTCAACCCCTACAGCTTGTCCACTTCATCCTCAAGCTGCAACTACCTAAACTGGTCCAGTACAGATGGAGCTGCAGGCCCCTCAATTGGATTTGCTCTTATTGTGGCATCCAATGCCACTGAAATCTAAGTGATTTTGTCCCTAAAGTGCCTCGCAAAGTTGTTACAGCAGGCCTTCAATGGTGTCAAAGCAAGGCTCTCTTGGTCAGGTGACTCTGCAATGGTGTGTTGGATGGATACTTGTGAATGCAATGATGGCCAAGAAACTTTCTTTGTTGCTGCCACTAAATAGCTGAAGCATGAAATACTATACTGCTTGATCCAAGGAATGACTACACATTTATGAAACTGCCTCTTAGGGGCCAACTTTGGCACTTACACTACACAGTCTCCCCTGCATTTAAAGGACGTTTTTATAGATTAAGCAAGGTGGTGATTTTTTGGTGAAATAGTTCAAACTGGTAGCTTATGTTCTACTTTCCCCAGGGCAAGTTGTTAGGATATTTTAGTCTTATAAACCCTATATACATACTATTGCATATATTTAATATTCTTTAAATTGTTTGTATAAGTTATAAGTAACTTTGAGCTTTCAGACTGAGGGCAGGGCAAGGGAAAAGTATGAAGTCAAAGAAGTACATGAGTAGATGTCAACGTTTCTGGTATTCCATGCAAGTTGGTTAAACTATATGCCTTTGTCAAAACATTTTGTAAAATTGACAATTAAATTTTTGAGCTAATGCCTAGTTTCTCATGCCAGAGTGACACACCTTATATCATGATGCACTTCTTTTTCGTATTTCTTCTCTCTTTGTTTCTTGCAGCAACAGAAGATTATAAAAGCTAGTAAACAGAGACCTAAAAGAGTCCCTATTACAGCTCCAGCAATGGTTCCAGCTCTATTCACCGCTAAAACAAAGAGAACAATGATATATGAGATGGCAGGAATTAATTCTGCAGTTTAATGATAAAGCCTTACCAAATTATTATTTCTATGTTTTTGCTTTCCAAAGATAATACTTACGAGGGGTGACATTCAGCACAAGAGAACACTCATCTGCACCAACTCTGTTGGAAGCTACACATTTGTATGTGCCAGAGGAAGCCCGAGATGCATTTTTAATCAAAAGATCACCTGTATCTGAATCTGTAAATATATATATACATATAAACTTCATTAGAATTTGTCAAAAGTAGCATTGGTAGGAATAATCAATAAAGCATGGACTTATGTTATTACGTGTTTAACTCTTGACTGTGCATATTACTTACACAAAATAATTCAACAGTTAAGGTGCAGAAGAAGTTCCTGGGTACATTCGCCTGCCTTGCAGGTGGCTAGCCCCGCCCCCGGGTGCCAGAGCAGCTAGCTCCGCTCTGCTTACCTCACACACACAAAATGTCAAAAATTAAATTAAAAATATGAGAAAACCATGGCATTTGTTCTCCTGGTAGCTGAATCCAGTGCATACTCTTTCCACTTGATGGTTACGCCAGAGTGTCTCTGGATGTTGCATTAATGCTACTGATTCAGTTAACTTTGGACTTCTTCCCACTCCATGATTAACTGGGGCTCGCATACAACCATGAGCAACTTAAAATGCAGCTAGGTCATTCTTTTTCTCAGTTCAGCATCGAACCTGCTTTGGGGGCGAATGCGTCAAAATACAGTATTCATAAAGAACCCCACAGAATAGATATCGATTGTGCGGCCGACCTCGTGTGCACACTACTTCCCAAACCAGTGTTGGAACACTGTGGGTGCAGAGAAAAACAGGTCTGTGTACACAGCCCAGGCAAATGATTATCTTGATTAACCAGGTAAATGATTATGCTAATAGAATTAAGCAATTATAACTACCAATGTTTCCAGAACACTTAGTAACATTGGGGGGAATTTATAGTATAAATCTGAGTGCGTATCAAATCCTATTTTCAGTGTCACT